GCTCCAACTTTGGTTGGACACAGAATCTCCTAAATGCCACATGTCAGTTTCCTATTAGTGAGTTCATGTTTCTTTTTTATATATTAATTCTTGATTTATTTTGCATAATTAAAAATAATAAATATTAATGAAAAAGAAAGGTGAGTCCACAAATAACAAACTGACATGTGGCATGTTGGAGCTTCTATGTCCAACTAAGGTTAGAGCTAAGAATTTTCCCAACGATAGTGGCCAACTGCACCAAATAATCAAACTAACCAATAGAGAACAGTTAGGTGGCAAAACAAGGATCTTAATACCAGCCTTTCAAGAAGTACATAATAAGCAAAGATTTTTTTTGTTCTTTCAAGAAAGACAGGGATTTTCCATTATTTACATTGTATTCTTTTTTTATTTATAACAATATGGATGGTAGCCGAGCACACCCCTTTGATCTCAAACCGTCAAACACTAGGATGTTAAGCATGACATTATTGTAGAAAGGCTACTGCATATCCATCAAGTACCTAGGGATCAAACATGACATCATCCTAAGAGGGTTTGTACTTGGTGGTGACTGGTGAGTAGCTCGGCATGGCCTACATCCACAAGCATGTCTTAGCGCCTACCCCCTAAGTACCCATCAAGCAGGATGATGTGCAAGGGGGTCGCGCGTGTATTCCCTTGTCAAGACCCTACAAGCATGAAGTCACCCTATGGGGGCATCATGACATAATCCATGAGGGTAGACTCAAAGCAGTCAAAATTCCTATTTAAATCCTAAAGTTCTATGATTTTGCGATTTTATTTACCTGTTCCGATCCGGATTTAACTATAAAATCTATGGACCTTAAAATGCTACACTATCCATGATTTAAATCATTTAAATCTTTTGAATCTTATGATTTTACGATTCAAATCTTTCGGTAGATTTTACTTGGTTTTCCTAGAATTTGCAAAATTATGTCTCTTTTCCTTCTCCTCCACCAACACCATCTCGTTCTCTCACATTAACCACCATCGACCATCATCAATTCAAATCAACATATTAATCATCATCGATTCACCGCTTCACACTATTAAGCTTGATCAATTGGAATATTAACCCTGAGAAATTAAGGTTATAGGTATAATAAGCCACTCTACTATGTTATTTTATGAAATATGTCCCTCTACTATTTTTACATCAAACATGCCCCTATACTTTGGAAAAATGATCAAACATGCTCTTCTGTTAAAATCTTCATCCAAAAGCCGTTAACTACGGTCGAACCTTGGTTTGGGCGACACAAATGTCTTAAATATCCCTAATAATTTCACTTGATAATTTTTTTTTTTGGGTTCTTTTGTATAGTCAAATACCTCATATAATTTCACTTTAGGGTATCAAAAAAGCTTCATCGAGTCCTAAGAAGTGGAGCAGTTACAAAGACAGTTACATCTGATGACTATAAATAGGAGAAGTGAAGATTGGAAAAGGTTCTCAAATTAACATTTGATACCACATGTCAAATTTTATTTTTTTCTCTGCAAAGTAGTCACAAGCAGTTTCTAAAACTGTTACTGAACTTCCATAGGAGTATAGTAATTTAGCTTGTTCCCTGAAACCATAAAATATTAAACATTATTGTTCAAGCATTATTTGAAAAAGTATGAACCGTATTAATATCATTATCCAAAGACGTCAAAAGTGCATTTATTGAGTTAAAACAAAAATATTTGATAGCCGGAAAATAAAGAGACATTGAGCAAATTGGCAATCTTGCTCGAAAAGACAAAACCCTTTCGCTTTCAAATTTATCCTTCGTTTTTGTAGCCTTCATGGTAAAAGATGGGCCTGCAAATTCGTCCACTCCTAAAGATTGGTCATTTCCACAAGCAAACACTAGTGTATCATTCCGAGAAAGCTAGATCAGCAAGTGCAAATAAAATCGTCGATTAGGATTCAGTAGAGCCTTGCCGATCAACCTCATCGAGTGCTGCCGCCACAACATCCCTATGCGGATTGATGGAGTCGATGTCGAGTCGGAAGTTTTGGAGTGGTGAACAGGGACGGGTCAGTACGAGATAAGAGCCTTGAGGTTGTTAGGGAAGGCACGAAGACGGCAAATTGGGTGACTGGCCAAAAGCAAATTTGAGGCCGACTTGGGCTTCGTGAGGGTATGAGGTGCAATCAGTAACGGAGTCGGATTCAAGATTTGAAGGGTCATATTTTTTCCTCATATTATCATATGGGTTTATGAAAACAAAAAATTAATAATATAAAAGGATAAAATAGTTATTTATCATCATCATCCAAAAAATAAAATTGAGATAAAAAAGAAACCTAAAAATATGATCGAAGCTAAATTTCTTGTACAATAGGTTTAAGATAATTAATTAAATTATCAAAAAAACTTAATAAATCTTTTCAATTGTACCAAGTTATTCACTGTTATTTTTTTTGGTCCAAGATAAGAGTTATTCACTGTTATTGCTTAATGATGATCGTTACTAGAATGTCATAAAATTAATCTACACATGTTCAAAATTACTCGTAAAAATGTAAAAATTAAATTTATCTATTTTGAACTTTGAACTTTGAGGGTAAAAAGATAAATTATGAAAGTTAAGTTTCTATTCTAAATTTGAGCAACTACTAAACTAAAACAAAGTAAAAATATGAATTTATAACCTCTATAATTGAATTGATCTATTTTGAACTTTGAAATTGGAAGGTCAAATAGATAAAAATATGAAAATTAAGTAAATATGAATTTTTAACCTCAAGAATTAAATTGACCTATTTTGAACTTTAAAGTTAATGTTTTCCTGGGGAATTGCAGTCTCATCGAGGGATCATTATGACAGTAATTGATCCGCTAGGCTAAGGGGAGCTTACATGCGAACTTTTTGCGCGCTTTATTATTGGGGTGGAGGGTTGGGGGAGCTTATCTCCGCCTAGGGGTGGAAGACTAGAAGTTTGGTTGTTGGTGGTGGATAATCTGCAAATCGCACCAATTTGCACTTATTGTGGTAATCATATCTATAAGTTGTGGATAGTGCGTTGCGTGTGGGTAGTAAAATAACGATTTTTGTGGTTAGTGCTTATCTACTACCCACCGCGGTTAACCCACAAAATCCACAATAACCACACTAATTATATTTATTTACTGAATTAACTTTATAATATAAAAGTATGTGAAAAGTGCGAGGATAAAAATTAAAGTAGCCACCAAATAAAAAAGACACATCTAATCAGTTTTCTGTAAGAATTTTTTAGTTTATAAAACACTATAATCGATAGAGTGGAGAATAATCAATTCATTAAAAGTGAACACCTTTTATAACTTTTATCAGTATGTTTTTGCTTTAGTGTGAAAAAAATACAAGATCATATTTAATTGTCATATTTCACCCCTAGTTGGGGAAATATGAAATCACAGCTCTCTGACACAAAAGTTGAATACCAAACTCAAAAAGAAAAAAAATCTCCACGTTGAATAAGATCGATGTACAAAATTGTATCTCCACGAACAACACAAGTGTATATCACTATAGTCTAGTTACGAACAACAAATACGTTAGTGGTGACTAGAACTCTATGCTTGCAAAGATGGATTTTTGCGGGTAACCACACCCAACCCACACAAACCCACAGTGGGTAGTGGTTATCCACTAACAACTGCGGTGCAGGTTATGAGTAGCATAATTGTAAATTTATGGGCGTGGGTACCCGTAAAATTTGAAGCGGATAACCGCACCCACCCCAATTTCCACCCCTCACTCCGCCCATGGATGCAATGGTTGGCAATGAGATTTCACCGGCCGCCCACAATTTTTTTAGGTGATGGCCTCTATGTGCGAGGGAGATGATGGAGGAAAAGAGGGCTCACTCCAATAGTAAATAAGTTTGTTCATTTTTTTTAAATATATTAGTCATAATTAATTTTTATTTATTTGTACAAAATCCCGAAACATTCTATCTATTTAACAAGGTTGGATGATCAGGACTTAAAGAAATATTGAGTGCAAACAATACACCAAAAAAGTGTGTACGTAATAGAAGACACTATATATATACACACACATGGAAGGCCTGATTAGCATAGCTAACAGGTTAAAGCAACTAACTAATCATTGTAGAGGTACATTTTAGCTTTCTCCGGAACCAAATCTCAGACGAAAAGCAGATCGATCCGACAATATCATCTTCTTCTTGCCATTCTCATTTGGCAGAGTCTGCTGTTCAATTCTCATTTGTCAGTCTTCTTCTTCTTGACATGGTGTTGGATACTTTCGAATGAGAGATTTATGTTTATTGTCCCGATCTATAGCATTGACAAGTAAATATTATTAGAAGGTATTATGGACCGGTGTATATATTGAGCTCAAGAATGATCTTTTGTTTGAGTTGGGAGTGTGTCATAGAATAATATTAAATTTATACTTTAAATTCTTATAACAAATTGAGTTATTGAGTTAGAAGTTTACTTGTCTGCGGATGTCAAAACTAGACCAACGAAATTAGGAATGACGGCTCTTTCCCTTTCCTTATGGCAGCGGCACATAGGTGGGATTCAAACTATTTCGCTGCTGGTTTTAACTTTGGGTTAATACCCTCGTTTGGCACGAAGTATAGCGTTAGTGACATTTCTGGCTCAAGTTTTCAAATAAGACATCTCTGGCCCACTTTTCAAATTATCGGACGAATTTGGCCTATGGGACGGGTTGACTGTCAGATTTGACGGTCAACAATATTCTCCGTTGCTGACTCAGCATTGGACTCTGACGTGGCTTGTCCACGTCATTTATTTTTAAAAAAAATAAAAAAAATAAACAAAACTAAAAAATTTTTAATTTTGTCCACCAATTAATAATAAAAAATAAAAACCCAAAATCCCCAAACCTCCGACCCTCATCTCTTCCTCCCGCCGCCTCCGTCCTGACTGGTTCATCCCCTTCTTCCTCTCCTCTAGCGTAAGCAACCGGAGGCTGAATCATCGCCCCCCAGAAACGAAGAGACTCCGAAGTCTGAAGCATCCGCCGCCGTCGTTGCAGAATCGGGGCTCTAAACCACCAGCCAGACTGAGTACGAAGAGACTCTTAACCACCATTCTTCCTCTCCACCGGCGAAGCAACCGAAGCAAGAACCAATACTGGCCATGGCGGATCAGACGGAATCTCGAGAAGGAAGCTCGTCAGGGGAACGTGCGTCACCACCAGATCTGGATTCTTTTTTCCCCTCGGTAATTAGATATGGATTCTTTCAATCCTGGGTGGGCGGGTGTAACGAATGCCTACATCTCTCCTCTCCTTGCCCAGGGGCGCATGCGCATCTACCGGCGACATTAGGCTGGCGCTCTCTCACTCGAGCTCTTTGTTGTCGACGGCGGCGGGTGGAGGAAGCGGCGAAGGGGAGAGAGGGATCGTTGTGGAGAAGCTGGATCCGGTCATGGATGATGACTTTGTGGGTCGGAACCACCGTCGGGGTGGCAGGGGAGGATCGACCGTTTACTCCACCTGGAGTCTGGAGCTTCGATTTTGTTCTCGGCGGAGCACATCGCAGCCTCCGGATGATGTAGCGGAGGGACTGGAGATGGAGAACCATGGTGATTTTTTTGAATTCGAGAAGAATGAAGTGGATTTAGACCGAAACAGAGAGGAGGAAGTGGAGCGGATCCATCTTTGGGGATTTTAGGATTTTAGGGTTTGAATTTGGGGATTTTGGGTTCATAAGAGGATTTTTTATTTTAATTGAAATATAAAATTAAAATAATATGTTTTAATGACGTGGCATGCCACATCAGTGGTTTTTTGCTGAATCACTAACGGAATAGTGTTTGACCGTTAATATTAACGGTCAAAGAAAATTTTAGGCCAAATTTGTCAAATAGTTTCAAAAGTAGGCCATAAATGTTTTATTTGAAAAATGGGGCTAGAACTGTCACTAACGCTAAATTTCGGGCCAAACTAGGGTATTAACCCTTTAACTTTCGACAAAATATCCGACCACTGCTTCATCACAATCACTAGAGTGGGTATGAAAAGCCAAAAAAAAAAAAAAAAACTCGTTAACCCAATCATAGTTTGTCACACACTCTGGCCAACCCCCTGCCTGCTTTCTTGTGGGATTCGGCCATTGGCGCCCACCAAAAGGCGCCCCATTAGTGTCCAATACGTCCCGAGGCAAAAGGCAAGTAACTGAGAGATAAGGACCCAACTAAGACGTCGACAAGAATTGGTGATAGAAACTAGTGCAGAAAAATAGCACTCTAAAGCCAATAAGAAGTCGACAGAGAATCACACGAAAGCTTTGTACTCTAGCAGATATAATTACGAAGACGGTAACAAATCCCCCGTATTATTAGTTGCGGGTATCTCACCGGCTCCCACCCGGACACAAGGAAATTACGTGGCTATGTTATGCACATACAAGCACGCAGAAACTTGAGACTCAGTAATCATAAAATTCATGGGGACCAAAGATTGACCGTATGATACTCAGTTCGGTATACTCCAATTCAAATGTCGGTTTGATCTGGTACAAACTGGAGCATTACAAAACCCCTACCATCAATAAAGAATAATCCCAACTTCACCACCAAAAGGTTCGAATGATTCTATAAACTTGATATACCGATCACTCGAAATGTCAAAGTGGCATGCAAGCACAAAGACAAAAGGAGAAGGACATGATAGAATGCAGCTCTCGAACCTGAATGAACCAAGTAAACACACTTTCACCCTACAGTAAAAGGCATTTAGAGAATTCCCAGCCTAACATTGAACCCACCATCATTTTTGAGCTTCTATAGCCTGAGATTCACATTGTATCCCTTCAGAGATTATTCAACCTCAGTCAAATTATGCAAGATGCAACCTTTGTCCACCAGAAACTTATGTTATACAAACTAACATAAAATTTGGAAAACAATATGCAGGGGAATTTGACAGGAAAAGCACAACAAACAACATGGCCTGGTCTGGTCAAATATGCAGTGGAAGACTTCATTACTTTAAAATAATAACTTGAAAACATTGAGCAATTTAAGCTTACACGTAACCCACATCCTCACTTACTGAAATCAATTATTGAATGTACGACCATGGTTTAAGCTGCTATATATGTGAAAAGGGTCAAACAACATACATCTTCTTTAAAGAAATTCTTCTGAATCTTATTAATTAGCCACAAGGATTGAATCACACACCAAATCGTTCGTAAAAACATGCGATGGTTGGCCAAGCCAACTACCACCAAGAAAGCCTAACCAATTTGATAGTGGGCAAGCCTAAGGGCCAACCATATTTACCTCTATGAACACATGGAGCCAATCTCTTTCATCACTCTCCCTTGCTGCTTCGTGGCTTTCGACTTAAGTTTCATGATTAAATTCTCGCGATCTGACTCTAGCACATAACGACCCATTTGCAGCTTCATCATCTTCTTTACTGTGAACAACATTGCCCTGCTTTCAACAACTTCAGGTGCCCAACATTCCTCCTCCCTGATGGCTGCTGCAAACAGCATAAGTAAGCACGATAAAAAGAAAGAAACATTGATGAACCAAAGAGAAGGAATCAACTCAACAAAGAAAACTTAAATCAGTTACAAAGAGAAGGAATCAAAATATATAAAAAGAACGCTGATGAATATGTAAACATTGAAATTTTTTGCACCTCTAAGAGAGTTGAAAGATCCTTCGTAGTAGAGCATGGCGCTTGAAATCCCATCACACTACAGCAGCAGGGAAATTTTCCTTTACAAAGAAGCACCCATAGCGAAACTCCACGGTCTAAAGATGCCAACTTGCTCTTCCTCAGTTGCTTCCAGGAGCCCCGCTGGGATCGTGAATTTTTTCATTATGGTTAGTAGGAAATATGTTACAGTTTACTCGTGAAGCTCTTTGAATTCACAGTGAAATGGAAGTCGATGAAGCTGGCGAAACATAACCCATGTCCTGGCCGTGGGTTTTTGCATAGATATTAAAAGTTACTGGGGGCATTTGTTGTCAAGGTGGCTCATTTATGAGGCGAAGAGTGATCTAACCCAAGTCTAGATAGCTAAAGGATTATATCTTATCAAATAAACAAATCTTAAAGGCAACAGGGTAACCAATCCAAGCTTTCAAGCAGTTAACATAACAGATAAATACTTCTTGTGTGCGTGAAAGTTAAAGACAACACAGAATAGCAGCAAAGCAAGAGTAACGATGAGTACATAAAGAACCTACAGCAAGCAACGAAAAAAATACTCTCAATCCAACCTATCATCTACGTTGACGGCCAAATCAAGATAGCCTCAAATTCTCATTCTAACCTCCATCCAAAAAATAAGTATCAGTTCAAGAAATAAAGAAAAGTGGATTCAAAATTGTATGAAACCAGACATTCAAGATTACTTTATCAAAGAGAAAACTATATCAGTTCAAGAAACCAGAATCAAATATTTCAATGAAAATGCAGAAGCAAGCAAAAGTCTCGCATTGAAAGTTTGAAGTATCCGATCAAGCATATCAGGAAGTACCCAACAAATGAAGGTACATAGTAGTTGCAGGGAAGCTTTCAATTTCATCTCCATCACTCTATGTTCCTGCATTTTTCCTGGCCATTACTGTGGGAATTGAATACCGATCTTAGGCTTCAGCTCATTAGGAAGGAGACTTACAGAGATTGGGGAACGACAGAAATGGAGAGAGAGACTTACATAGATTAATCAACCTTCCTAATACTTGGTGCAAAACTCCGAGAGCTTGGGTTATCTTCTAATTATCCTGTAGAAATCAGGACGGAATAACATTCATACACTTTCAAACCAACCAGTTCTCTAAAAGGGCTGCAAGGGGGAAGATTCTCTGCAACTAAAATCGGCTATGAGGAAGAAGAAGATGAGTTACAAAAATATATTACCTTGATTCATGAGCAAGTCCATGATAGCCTCAGTGAGCCTCCTACCCCTAATTGATATATCTGATCGCTGCTTCATCTTGGCAGTCCTTGTCTACACAACAATCACAAAACCAACCATAAAACTAAAATGAAAAAAAATTTGGATTCATTTATGACTTTCCAAATATGTCCCCCACATAGCCCACTGGGCATTTCACCTGGCAAGGGGAGGATTGTAGTGACACCAGGAGCGACCAAGATATAGATCTTCAAATAAAATTGAAATAATAAGAGTGATAGGTTGGGTCTAATGGGATTGCCTTACGGGAGAATCAAATCCAACCCGGGGAGGCAGGGATGGAGCATGCAGCAGTGGTGGCCAATTCAAAAAAGATTACTAATCTAACCACACTAACTGACAAACAAAAACAAATAATAATCACAATCAATTTAGCTCATAACAACTTTGCAAACGAAACCAAGAACACCTATGATCTATGTAAGAATTAAAGGAATGAGATTCAGAGGAGATTTGAGGAACAATAAGCAAAAGAAAATTATAAAGACAAAATACTCACCGCCGGAGAGGAGGATGTTGACGGGAGAAGTACAATGGTGGGTGAATCGGCTAATAGGTGGGTTACTAAAGTGCTTCTGTCTATGGAGAAACCGCTGTAGGTGGAGAAGCGTAGTACATAGGGCGCATCAAAACACCTCCCTGCTGGTAATGGAGGCTTTTGGTATTGCGAGGACGGACAACGGAAATGAAGAAGCGTCGGTCGCCAGTCGCACTAGAAACACTTCCATGCAGGTAATGGAGGCTGTCGCAGACCTAGAAAGCGCAATACCAGACAAAAGAATCACTAAAATTGATGCAAAAGGATTATAATCGGGAGATGAAGGTAAAACGATTTGGACAGATGAACCGACCAATTTGAAGCGAGTCCTCCTTATTGCAGTGTGAACCTTGGTGTTGCGAGGATGGAGAAATAGGGATTCGGAGTGGGAGGAGGGACTTTGGTAGTTTGCGGGGGGAGAAGCGGTACCAGCGATTCGCGTTGCTGGTACGAGGTGAGGAAGAAGGAAAATCAACGGTTGCGGGGGCTTGACAGAAGCTTTTTCCCAGTAATAAAATAAGGAGATCCTACAGCGAAATGTAGTTTCCACAATTGCTCCTAGCGAGAATGAAGGAGAAGCCAAGGATTTCAAAATGGAGAAAAACAGCCGAAGAACTTCTATATATTATAGAAGGATGAGAGGCTGGATCCAAGAATTTTACATAGCGGTGTATTCTCTCAAAAATGTAATTTAATTAAATATTAGAATTAAATTAAATAATTATTAAATATGAAAATATCTGACTAATAAAAGTTACATTAAAAGTTCATACGTGTTTCGTAAAATGGTAAAATATATCCGGTGTCTGACTGCTCAACAAATACCTCTCGACATATCCTATTAGACAAGGGTATCCGGTACGTAATTGGGTTCAATCGTTAATATTTAAAAATAATTCGGAATAAGAATAACATTTTACTATTATATTTGGATCTAAAACGCGATAACAAATGAGTTGTAGTGTAATTGAAAATTAGTTTACTAATAATAGCAGCGTCCCAAGTTTAAATCTCATAGACTACTACTTAAATATTATATGTACCAATACGCAAACTACTACGAGAGGTTGTATAATCATTTTTCCAAAATTTAAGGGTGTCCCACTACCACTTAAACATTTTTTTCTTATCGCAAACTACTATCGGAGGTTGAATAATCATATTTCCAAATTTTAGCGGTGTCCCGCCTAAACACGCATGTATCCGCCACTGATGAGAGGTACCTTAATCAACGTGGACAATAACTAATGAGTGGTGGAGGAAAATTAAAAGAATGAAGAAATTTTTTTATTGTTAAATAGCAGTAGTTGTGAGGTGGAAAATTAAAACTAAAAATAATTACGATTTCACTTATCAGTATTCTTAACTCACAAGTCACTGATTTAGGAATCAAACATGAGAGTTGACTTCTATATATTGAATTATGCATGTATGATTTGACTGGAAGCAGTTATTCATGTATGTATATGCTTATGCTTGATATAGGTTTTCTAAAACTCACCCTAACATTAGGTGAGTATAGGCCTTAATTAACAAAGTGTTATCTATGATCTCTTGTTCGTGATTGATTGGTTAGTGGCATGAGGCGAAAGCACACATTACCTAGTCTTACTTCAATTTTCACCATTATAAAGAATAGCTAGTCTTAATTCCTTTTGCATGTGGTGAAAGCTTGATTAGGAATACGTTAGTGGATGAGATGCGACATCATAATAGGAGAAATTCAAGGATGCATTATGATTAAAGAGTTAGTATGTATGTTCATATAAATGAAGCTACCTAAAGAATAGTTTCTGATACTTGTTTCATCGTTACTCAATTCCCCCCCACCCCGTTGAATCAGTAACTTTCATTGCCAATAAAAAACCGATACAACAAAGCGGGATCCCATAATCCCGAGGGTAGAAGAACAAGCTCGCTAACTACCCTTTCCTCTACCAATCTACTTACAATATAAGAACCCAAAAAAAAAAACAAACTATAAGTATCCAAGTCTTGTAAGCCCATCACGAACTGCCCTGTTCCCACATGTTAGGAATAAAAGATCCGTCTTCATCACATCTGCTACTTTATCAGGAGAACGGAGTGGAGAGCCATGAACCAAACCACATCTTTCCTTCCATATAAATGCAATCAGAACACACCATACAAGTGCATGCCATTTCCCTACCTGAGTGTTGCTGCAGACTATAGTGGTCACAACATATAACATCGCGTCCCAATCATTGTGTCTCAGCAGCTGGTAATGCATCTGATTAGCAAGTTGGCAAGAGAAAGAATAATGGAGAAAGAGATGATCTCGAGTCTCAGTATCCTTCCCACAGAGAGAGGGCAGGAGGCATCTATGATTTTTCCCCACTTCAACATCTTGTCTCTTGTTACAATAGCCTTTTTGATGACAATCCATGCTATTAAGCTGTATAGAGGAGGACAGACACTACTCCAAACAAGTTTATGACAAGGAACCTTAGGAGCCTTCCTTCTCAACATCTCCCAAACTCTTCTTACCGAATAAACCTGCATCTCTTGCGAATCCCAGAAAATAATATCATTCTGGATGTGAATCCATGGCAGTATAACAACCCTCAGTTTCAGCATCCTCTGCCATGCCCAAGAACTACTATATTGTACTTTCAGAGATCATAAGTCACCCTGCTTGCATTTATATTCATACATCCATGCTACCCAAAGTGCTCCTGACTTCATGAGAAATAACCAAAGAATACGAATCATGCAAGCCTGATTCCACGCTAGTAAGTCTTTCACTCCCAGACCACCCTCCTGTCTTGGCAGGGCAACCTCATCCCAAGCCACTTTAGCCTTACCTTCATCTGCTCCATGCCATAAAAAATGAGAACAGACCTGTTGAATGCGTTTGAGAACCTTTTGAGGGAAAACAAAAAGTTGCATCCAGTATTGGATAACCCCAAGAAGTACTGAGGTGATCAATTGTAGCCTCCCAAAATAAGTGATCTTCTTTGATCTCCAAGATATAATACGCTTTGTAATTTTTTCCGCCAAGATGTCAACTTCCTTGGACGATAGCTTGCTAGTCATCAAAGGCAGTCCCAAGTAACGAACTGGCAAAGCACCCTCCCGACCCCCAGAAAGTAGCAGAGCATTACTCTTAAAGAAAATGGATTCTCCACCAAAGTAAATCTCACATTTGGAGGATTATTCTTAAGCCCCAAAATCTGATAGAACTGCTGCAAAACCATCTTGTCCTGCAAAATTGCCTGAGCAGAACTCGTAGTAAAGACAAGAATATCGTCTGCAAAGCACATATGGTTTAATGCAAGCCTTTGACACTGAGGATGGAAGGGAATTACCCCATTATGCCCAGCAAACATTAACATGACAAACAAGCCCTCCATTGTGATGGTGAAGAAATATGGCTACAAGGGGTCACCTTGAAAGACACCCTTCCTAGCCCTAAAGAACCCGCATAAGCTGCCATTAACGTTTATACTGTAATGAGCAATTTGATTACAACTTCTGATCAATCCCAAGAACCTTGTTGGAAAACCCATGACACTCATCATAATAAAAATGTACTGCCAATTGACAGAGTCGAATGCCTTCATGATATCTATCTTGATTGCACAACGCGAAGATAACCCAACCCTGTCATAGCCACTAACTAGTTCATGTGCTAATAATATGTTGTCCATGATGCTTCGTCCTTTGATAAATGTGGACTGGGTATTACTAATAACAAGAGGCATCACTTCTCTAATCCTCTTAGCTAGGATTTTTGCTATTATTTTGTAAAGAAGATTGACACAAGAAATAGGCCTAAAGTTCTTTAGAGTATCAGCACCAGAGACCTTTGGGAACTGCTGTAGAGTTTACACCACTAGGGAGCGTACCTGTTTGGAAGAAGAAGAGGACTCCACTGGTGACATCAGCTCCAATAATGGACCAAGCTCGCTTATAGAAACCAGCAGAGAACCCATCCGGCCCTGGAGCCTTTTGGAAATTCATGCTAAATACTACATTGCGCACCTCCTCTGTTGTGATATCCTGGATCAGGGTCTCGCATTCAGATGAAGGAATTTTCCTACGGACCAGCTTCACCACCTTTTCCTTGCTAGGTTGGATCTCTGAGTTTGCCTCCCCCAACAACTTCTTGTAAAATCATATAACTTCCTCTATAATCTGATCAGACTGGACAATCTCCTCTCCTGCTTTTGTGGTCAGCTTTTTGATAGATCGTTTACAGTTACGGATCTTCACAGCTTGATGGAAAAAATTAGAGCTTTTGTCTCCAACAGATAACCAAGAAACCCTTGACTTTTGCCAGCAAAAACTTTCATAGGCTAATATCAGCTGATCATATTAAGCCTGAGTTTGTGAAACCGCCTCAAAATGCTCTGCTGTAGGATCCGAGAAAGCCTTAATTTGTGCTTGTTGCAATTCATTTTCAGCTTCCTTAACTTGATCCTGAAGATTCCCATAAACCTCTTTGTTAAATTTCTTCAAAGATTTTTTCACCTCTCGTAGTTTTCCCTGTACAATCTGTAATGGCGATCCAGAAATATCAATGCGTCAGGCCCCTCTCCAATTTCCATAAAACATGGATGCTCAACCCAAAACTCAAAGTATTTGAAGGGCTTCGGTAGAGACTTTACAGGAAGCATTGTGCTAACCTGCACACCACAGTGATCCGAGAAATTCGAAGGAAAGGACTCCATTCTACAATTCTGAAACTTTTCAACCCAATCCAAATGCACCAGTGCTCTGTCCAGCTTCTTGGCTATAAGATTATTCGCTTGTGTATTAGTCCATGTATATTGAGGCCATGTAGTTCGATAATCCATCAATTCCATATCCCCAATCCACTTATTGAACTCTTCCATACTAGGTGTCAAAGATCTCTGATTAGATATTTCCGCTGGGGAACGAACGGTATTGAAATCTCCCCCTACAATCCAGGGTCTTCCCACAACCTTTAGCCTTGCAATCTCTGCATAAGTACTCTGTCGTTTGGCTTCATCATTAGAAGCATAGACAACAGTCAAGAATAAACAATCCCTGTTTATATCTTCCACCAAACAATGAACACAAAGTTTTCTAGGCTGATTACCCTAATTTTGATTACAGGATCCCAAAACAGGCAGACACGCCCTAACTTTGAATCAATACAGTTAAGACGCTTCTCCCATCCATCAAAAACCTCAACCACAGTCTCCGCTGCCTTAGCTACCTTTATTCTAGTTTCAAGTACTACAACGACATCTACTTTATTTCTACGTAAGACTTGCAAGAAGTCCCTTTGCTTGGGGGTTTTACTGAACCCCCTCACATTCTAGAATACAATTATCATTTCGAGGTAGGAGGTTTCCCTCCACCCTTCTTTGGATCTTTTTTCACCTCCTTTTTCTTTGGAACTTCTTGCACCTTACCTGTCTCTTTGTTGCCAAGCTTGCTAAGCACACTGAATGATGAAGCTGAAACCTGTATGGAGCTTGCAGAACTGTCTTGAGATAACTAGACTATAGGTTTAGCCCCATTAACCACTCTTTGGAACTCATCCTCAGAGGGTAGCTTAGGCGACTTACTGAATTTACTTGTTTTACTTGAATTAGAAAAA